GAGTGAATAGTGGATGGGTGGGTAGGTGAGTGAATAGTGGATGGGTGGGTAGGTGAGTGAATAGTGGATGGGTGGGTAGGTGAGCATATGGATGGGATGGGATGGAGTTGAGAGAGGAGGCTGAAGTCTTCTTTTAAAGGGTGATCTGGATTGTGTCACTCCTCTGCTTAAAACCCTCCATGGTCCTCAAAATGGCCTCTAAGAACACGCCTGTATGATTTCACCCCTGATCCACCCTGACCCCTTACCCCTCTCAGCCATTCTGGTCTCCTTGCTATTCCTCCAACGCTCCAGGTACCTTCCTGCCTCAGGGGCTTTGCATCCACCCTACATTGTGTCTGGAATGCTCTTCCCCAGGTATGCCCCTGGTGCTCAATAAACTCCCTGACGTCTCTACGTAGAATGGCAACTCCTTCATTCCTAGAACCCTTTAAACCCCTTTCCTCCTTTCTTGCTCCATTTTTCTTCATATCTCTTATCATCTTCTAATATTCTAAACATGATTATACTTATCTATTTATTTTGTTTCATGTCTTTCTCCTCCCAGTATAATGTAAGCTCCTGGGGTCTGGGGTTTGGGTCTCTTTTATTCACCTCTATAGCCCCATGCTTAGAATAGTGCCTTACACATAGCAAGCACTCTATACATTGCTGCTGAAGAAATGAGGGGTGAAAGGAGGGGAGAGAAGGAAGGGAAGGAAGGAATGAAGGGTATGAAGCCTAAAAACAAAATGGTCTCGGGGCAGCGCAGGATGGCACAAAGGGAGTGGCCACAGTAAGAGGTTAGGAAACACATTATTCCGGTCCCACATTTTTAAATTTAGAATTTAATTTTATGAAACGAAGTTACTGAATCAGATGACCCATTCTATACATCTTCTCGATGAACTTCAAAAGTGAAAAAAACCTGGAGGAAGGCATGGAACGAATTCTTTATTTTGAGGACCTTTGCATGACTGAACTGTCCTGGTCGCAGGAGGGGTGAGGAGGAATGTATCTTTGCAGTTTCACAGCACAGGTCAGTGTCAGGATGTGAGGGACGGAATCGACTTCCCATCGAACAGAGGGAATCTCCCTGAGCAGCCCAGGGCAGACCCACGCAGAGGCGGGGGGCGTCCGGGAAGGGCTCCGCGGCAACCGGCTGAGCTGAGGATTTGAAACATCCTGTCCTCTGTCTCTCTGCATGATGACATTTTTCAGGGGATTAATTCCCTGGGGATCAGCTAGCCCTAAACCTTGATAATCCAGATTTGTGATTTAATTCAGTGGTCTGAGTATCTCACACAAGGAGAAGGAAGTAGGAGGCCAGAGGGAAAAAACACTCTGTGCTTCCAGGAAATCAAGAAAAGCGGATAAGCCCATCTGATGTCTCTTTCATCAACCATTTCCACTCCCAGCCTTGTCAAGAACCCTGTTTCTAGCCCCGTGGTTGGCATCCTTCTCCTTCTCACCAAGAGAAAGAAACTGAGTGGATTTGAAGCAGTTGGAGTAGGAAGGTTGAAGGGTAGACTATGTGCTGAACTTTTTGACAGTCTGACAGCAGAAAAGGTGAAAGAGAAAGTTGGGGAAGAGACTCTGGCAGGCCGGAGGGATTCAGGATGACGTGAAGCCGAAAGATGTCATTAACCTTTGGAATTTTTGGAGCGGCAACTGGACCCTGGTGCCTTTCACATTTCCATACATAGACTTTCTTCTTCATCCAGTTCTAGAAATGTACCCCCCCCCCCCAGTCTGGGCAAAGCTCTTACTTTCAGTCTAACCTCAACCCACAGCACTGCAAGGCGGGTCTCCACACCACCCCCCACCCTCTCTCCTTTAAGGGGCTCTGGGGATTTGGCCCTCCAGAAGTGCTGGATGTATGTTGACCAGGTGGAGAGTGACGGAGGTTTCCAGAAGCTCCTCAGCGAGACATCATCCTCACAAACTCTGCAAAGGAAAGTCCCCGGTGAGGTACCTATTGGTAAGAGCAGCAGCTGACATTTTTCTTGAGCCCTTACTTCATGTCGGGAACTGCTGGTGATCTCTGGGAAACTACTTGAGCCCTCTATGCCCCGATTGCTTCGTCTACAAAATGGGAATCAGAGGATGGCTACTTACCGTATATGGTTTTTAAGATGGTTAAACAGTATAATGCTTCTAAGACACAGTGTTAACTAAATAGCAACTATGAGTATCTTATTTCATATTACCAACCAATCCCAGAGGGGTAAATACCATTTTACAGGTAAGCAAACTGAGGCCAGCGAGGTTGACGTGAGGTCACGCGGATGGTAAGTGGTGAATCCTGGAACAAACACAGGCTGTACCTGACTTTGCTTTGACTCACCGCCAGAGGAACTTACTGGCCCTACCCAAGTCTTGAGGTCAATCTGTCCTTCCCTTGCCTGTGCTTGGCCTGAGGATGTGTCTCCCCAAAGACCTGTCTCCTACCTCTTCCAGATAGTCACTGATGCCCATTGTACACCCGAGCCTGGCTAGATCCGGCAAACATTTGCTAAGTTGCAGCCGTGCAACAAACATCTACCAAGTTTCCATACTGGGAATCCAGTAAAGATGGTTTTTTCATTTATCCAGTTACTAAACCCCAGCAGAGATGCTTTAGCAAAGATCCCTCACTGCCCCGCCCAGGATTTCACAGACTAGGAGACA